TAGTTCTGGCAGAAGAAATTCGTTGAGCATGGACACATAAGAATCAGCAGCTACCGTAAATGCATGTCCCTTGTTGACTTCAAAAATTTATGGTCTTAACATGCCAAATGAACTGAGTCCACACCATAATCTGACCTGCTGGCTATGCAAAGGTGACTGCGGCAGTAAGTGCAGATTTTCTTCTGCCCAGTACCTGAAATTATTCTTATTAACATAACCGCTTAGATGGAAATCGGCTTCATCTGATGTTATCAAGTTTAGAATAATTTGTATTGTGTGTCCATCATTTCCGATAGCTTGGCGCAAAAGTCCCTTTGCATATTAAAATCACGAGGAAGTCATTCCTGCACCATTTGAATTTTGAATGGATGAACCTGGAAATCCATGTGTAACATTCTCCTAACACTCCTATCTGACACGCCTAGAGCCACAGAATGTCTAGCAGAGCACCGTAGACTCTGCTATAGGCCAACCAGCACACTCCCCACATTTTCTGGGTTACTCACTGATCGTGGACGACCTGGATTCTTCTTTGGCAAGGCAGAAACAGTTGATCTAAACTGGCTTACCCAATTTAGAATAGCCTGACACATTGGAACCTTACCATTTCTTCCAATGTTAAAGTGCTTCCTAAATTCACATTGTGTCTGAGTAGATGAAACATTATTAATAAATAAAAAGCTCTGCACAACAAATGAACGATGTCCACATGACCAACGCTCCATGAAGACTGAACTGCTCTCGACGCAGCCGCAAAATTCAGCGCGCTATCTCCAAGCATATGTATTTGGCGCAAATTTCAAATCGCCTAATCAATTCTGCCGCATCTTGTATGTTACTAATAAGAAATACAACACCCTAAACCTATAAACTGGATGAATTCGCCTACAGACATCCATTACACTGAAGAAGACGCCTAGAGATGTGGGTCATTTCACCATATTGTCACGGTTTAGGGGTGACTATAGACGGGGTTTCGGATTTGAATTTATTGACAAAGTTAACACAAGACTTGTAATTACACTTTACAGATCACTGGCACATATTGATTAGTGTCCTCAGTCAATTAAATTCTCCATTAGCCGTTTCCTGGCAGCAGATTTTAACACAGGAACTATAACAGTGTCACTGAATTTCACAGTCCACATATCACACACAGGGCTTACTTTTCACAGCCGCCCTCTTGCAACTAACTCTTTTCTTCCAAGCTTCTCGTACAGAACTTGGATCCCAGGCTGACGACCACTTCACCCCAACTTTCTAGTCCTCTCTTCACAGGCTGACTTTCAACTGAATACTCCTAACTATAGAGCCATCTCTTCTCAGCTTCCGGCAGAGCTCAAATCAAATGGTTTCTTAAAACTATCCTGCTCATAACGTCTCGGAAAGGACCACAAAGCAAACACCCCGTTTCCACAGCAAGTCTAATATTACGCGCGTATAAGTTTCCGCGGGAAAGGTTTTACTCAGCCGTTGCTCAGAAACGGTAGTTGTATATTTGCCTACCCCGCAACCATTGCATAGCAACGGCTGTACGCGCTATATTGGTCTCTCCTTAAGGCTATTCATCCCGAATGGCCTACAGGCGTACAGCAGTTTCCTATTTTCCCGAGGGCAGTTTATGTGACGGCTGTGACCGGTCTCACCTTCCTTACCCGTGGCTTCTTTTCACGGCGATTTCTTCCAATCGCTCCTGCTGTTCCCTCCTTAAGGTCCCTCATCTCGGACGGTTCCCTCCTAAGATGTCCATTGATGCAGGTTGATCACCATCATCCTGCTCTTCCGATCAGTGTAGGCAAAAGTTCCGAGAAGAGTTAAAACTCCTATATACGAGGCTCTTAAACTGTTGTTAGTAGCCCTTACTTTCGTTTCGGAGAGGGCCATCTACTCCGCAATGTCTTGACGCTCGGTTTCCGCAGTCTAAAGGAAGTCCCGGCTATTTGTTTCGCGAACTCCAACTCGCGATTTTGTCCTCGGGTCTCCTATAACGTCTCTTTGCTTCCCAGACGTGTCTAATGTCTCCTGCTCCTTCGTGTGATGTCGTTGCTGGCTGTTCGGCAGCTACGCTCTCTTAAGCTTCGGGTCCTTATTCCGTTGTTGCATTCCGGTTGCGCCCAACGTTTCTTACCGAACGTCCGTCCTTTAGGGGGTTCCTCATGCAATGCTGTCCTGGCCTTGCCCTGACTACCGCGTCCCTCAAGCAGTGAAGAAATGGCACGGTGGGTGATCCCTCTGCAGGCGACGGCCATCTTGGTCCGGGACTCACCATTGTCCTGGATCCGCTTCTTCAGCTGACCGCAGCGCATTACGACTAGATGCCGGTCCCCCTGTCGCTTCTTCAGTGCTCCCATGGGTTTCACTGCGGCCTCTTCCTTAGGGACTTCTTCGTGCTCTGCCTCGGACCCTTTTTCTTCTAGATTTGTGTCCAAATCGGTGGCTTCCGTCTTTATCCTAGACTTCTCAGGCTGCCATGTCTTCACCAGTCGTTGTTTGGTAATGCCTTTCAACGCGGTAGATTCCTCAGCTTGTGTGTTCTCTCTCTTACTAGCCGGCGACTCTCTCACTACTAACTAAACTCTAAACTAGTTTCGCTTCCAACAGTTCCTCTAGTGTTGCATTACGCAGCTGTCGCGTGGTCCATCGGTACGTGTTAGGAATCTGTTGCCTAGCAAGGGGTGTTGCTTACTGAGTCATTACTTAGCAACAAGTTTCATGCTACAACATATTCATGTTAGCCTATGTACAATACAGACCTAACACACAAATCAGTAAAATAACCATGGGTCCCTTTTGATTTAAGGATCTCGTTTCCTCCTTCCTATATAGATTATTTTCATTCCTAATTTTTATCGTCACACAAGGTGTGCGCAGAATGTCCGTAACATTCGTGACACACCAGTGTAAGAAATTCTCCTTCTCTTCTCATTCTCTTTTACCTCCCTCCCCCTTCTAACTTTCCATTCAGGAACGAAGGGGAGAAAAAGTAATACTTAAAATTATGACGAAAAACCTAGCTGCAAATCGAGTTATTGCAAAAGTTTGTTTGCAGCCTTTCTCTCGCTAATAGTTTGTGTTTTTGGCATAAGGAAATATCAGCAGAGCAGTAACGGATGTCTGGGACGTGGAATTCAAGAAATTAGTAACACTGGCAAGCGACGTACAGATGTGGACATAGCAAATGCCACTCCTTCGAAGTCAATTTGCATTAAGAGATATTTCCTGATTCATAGCATATTCCTTATTTCTTAATATCCGATGATTAATACTTAGAATATAACTTAACTATTTACTTTTGTGACAGAACTCTAATTGGCTAATACTCGTACTTAGAATACAGTTATTGTCTACCAATAAGAGTACTCGTAATAAAGTATTAATATCAGTGGTAGAACTGCTCCATTTGGCTACTTACTGACTACAGTATCAGAGTAGGGTATCCTTCCCAACTGTTTTTTCAAGTGGGATGCAATTAATATACACAGCTGACAAACCATCATCAAACAGTACTATTTCCCTATGATCCATTTTAATAGTCACTTCACTTACCTCGGCCTGTGAGCTCTCCTACATGCTTTATTCTCAGATTTCTCTACTCACTGCTTATTTAGACGTCTGAACCACATGCCCAAACCACAGCAAGCTTCTTGATATGAATGAAAATTATTCGAGGGTCAGTCAGTAAGACACAAATGGAAGTAAAACATCTGTAATGGATGTAATAGGTTTTCTATGTGTATCACTAGGTAGCAGCACAGTCAAGCTTCATAACAGTCTAGGCAGCATACGCACATACACATGTTCAGAGGGTGGTTTCAGTAGTCAAAATGGCTACCGTACTTGATGAATATATTGCCGAAACTCGGCGTTCACTTGAGCGTTTTCCTTTTGTGGGCAAAATGACTCAGTGCGAAGGATATTCATAAAGAAATGGTCTCTGTTTATGTTTAGAAGTATTTCTGGCGTAAAGCGGTTCCACCTTGCTGGCAAAAGTTTCGCTGATGACGAAGAGGTTGGAACGGAAGTGCAGAAGTGGCTGATACAATACTCAAAATACTTCTATGCTGCGGGCTTTGACGCGCTGATAAAACAATGGGACAAGCGCATCAGTGTTGGTGGAGGATATGTATAGAAATAAATGAGGTGTCCAGGTTTTAATATCACATATTTTACGTTTTATATTCATCTGTGACCTAGTGACTGACTCTCCCTCCTATAACGATAAACAAGGACCTAAATAACGAAGCTAAGGGTGAAGACGTCATTCATTCCGAGACAATGAACAGACAGATGCCCAAGATAATTGTGATGTAACTTGATATTTAATGAGTTGTGTAGAATTTACAAATTACATTTTTGTGTAACATTCTTTCCAAGCTTCATTTTTCTTTGGTTTAAACATGATTCAGGGAACTCTTTTTTTTTTCAAAATATTCCAGACCAATTAATGTTTCTTCCCTCAGTTTGTTTATTTCATATGATCCACGATTGTCATACTTTGATTTGCTAAATTAACTGGTTTATCTGTTACCACATTTCTCAATTTAATCGGATACACCATGTTTACACTTCAGAAGACAGGAGCACCAGCAAAGTCTATTTATAAAACACCTCGTAACTAACCCTTGGTGAACGGCGAAATTTGTCCAGATTGCAGCTTGTGTGTAAAAGGATTCAAATAAACAGTACCCTGAACATGAACAAAGTTTGACTAGTGCTGCATCTGAAAAGCTAATTCATTTACACTACCCCCAATAGCGCTCACTGTCCTCAGCAGCGCGCAGGTTGTGTTCGAGTGTTCCAGTGTCGTTTGTCTGTATTCAACGTGTCGTCATAAAGGCTTTACGTAGAGCTGATGTCCTATGAAGAGAGTCCTATTTCATATCCGAAAGATTCATCCCAAGATTGCAGAACAGTATAAGACAACGAAGAAAATAGGCGGGTGAGATCTGCCTGGCCTGCGATAGCAAGGACTAGTGTTGACAGGAACTCAGTGGACTCACCTGCTTGGCGAGCCGCGCCAGGTTACTGAGTTCGCGCTGCAGAAGTGGTAGGTGCGCCCTGAGAAACGGGACGACGAAAGGGCGGAGGGGGAAGTTGGTCACATCCTGCAGCGAGTGGTGGAACTCCTCAATAGTTATGCTGTTACTCTGAAACACAGGAAAGACCAAGTTCAGAACTCTGAGCTTTTATGGTGCATAACAAATTTTGTGAAGCAGTGTCACTCTTCAGAAGCATATAATGTCTCAGTTACGTAGGAAACTGGGCCCTTTTAGGGGAACCAGGAAGTACATTTCCGCTTCCCATACTAGACTGTATTCTGACCTAGGTGGATGTATGTAAGACACCCTGTTTTTTTAAAGTTCAGTCAATTATATACTCCGATCCACGGCCGGTGCAAGCACAATTCCTCCCCCATCGGCTAACAACGCACCCGCTTTCTCAAAACGTCGTCACAATTAATAACGTTATAACAAGAAATTTCCAGACACTGTTACGAAAACTACCACTGATGCACTCTTAGGGCACTTTTATTTACACTGTTACGTAACTGATTACTGCCAATTAATGGGCATGATGTGAGTAGGAGACCAGAGTTAATTACTTTGTATGCAAGAAACAAAGAACATAAGTGATGTAAAATATGTTCCCCGGCCCTCCCTCACTCCACGCGGGGCAACCGCTAGATTCGCCCTGTGCTCTCTTGCGTCTGGATCTCCCACTAATATTTTCATGTATTTCTTGTATCTTCCGTGTGTTACATGGGCCGTACATATCAGAATCCGTGTCTGATCAACCGGATAATATTCTGTGAACATTAACAACTATTAATCTGCTGTGTAGTGCATTATGAGGAAAGAAAACACTTTTAGCAAATCGATCTTATCATAAATGAGCAGTTGAACAAGACACATTCAAAATGGCATCTCTGATTCGTATTCGCGTCGCAGTTCAAATGCAGAATAATCTGAGGGATACGGTTACTGATCGTCTTCAGTCTGTCTCGAGCAATGTGGCAATGGTACCCGAATTCTGGCTACGTCCACGCTATTTACAATTCATCATTCACAGTCACTATACAACCATACTTTACTTGGAAGAGAATTCTTAGTGAGGTGAGACTGAGTCCAATTGGTACTGCGGCCACTACTGGCATATTGTACCAGCCCCAGATGATAGGTGATGGTGATTGTGGAGCAATTGGTGGAATGAAGATTGGCAGGGGAAACCGAAGTACTCGGAGAAAACCTGCCCCAGCGCCACTTTGTCCATCACCCGAACCGCCGTGGAGGGAAGCCAAGGACTAACCGTGAGCAACCCAGTAACTACGTAATCAGATCCTAACGTATTCTTGAACCCTTACTTAGAGCCGTAGCAAGTTTTAAAGAATGATTTGTAGAAACACAGAAATAAAGAGGGAAAATAGCGTGGTTCAAAATGAATCGAAATACAGGCTACAGACTGCTATATAAAATCAATTTAATCCACGAAAGTCATGAATACTAGGACGAAGTAGCATGGCTTTCTTAACTATTTAAGCGGAAATATCTGAATTCAGTTACTGTTGCAAACACGACTGAAAGAAGTCTAGGGGGGAGATGTATAAGTCTTTAGTGAACACTAGCAGATCACAATGGCCGTAATGTCTAAGGCATGAAATGTCTTCGCCCGTCATTACGTCGGGCTGATGTCCCGTCCAAGAGTCCTACCGAGTGTGTACAGATTAAGAAACTAAAGTAAAACAAAGCGTTTCATGGATTCCCTATGCTCCAAGTGGGAGCCACATGAATGGATTGATGGATAAGCATACAATTATAAATCTACGAAGAGAGGTCTAGCTGGGAACGCCGGGAAGGCGTTTCGGTCGGTAAAGTTATTAAACTGCAAGTCTGCACAACCTTCTAAGATCCATCAAAGTTCTACTGGAGTATGGACCTACAGCACGGTAAGCAAATTACAAACTGCTGTCGGTAGGCCTATATGAATAATAGCGGTTAAGATCATAATATTGTTATTTTCCACAGTTCTCTTTTGTATTGTAACGGACTTGATCAACGCGTCGCCAGGCAACAGCTTTGTAATCACAGCTAGGTTACGCAACAATTGAGGAGGCTACGTTTTCCGTGCCCGCTGTGACACCACAACATGAGATATTTATCACGTGACTTGTTTTCGTTGTTGTCCGAGCGGCGCCTATATAACGAAGACCTGTTTAAGCTTAAGTTGGTGGAGAGTCTAGGAGGGTTCAGCAGTTTAGAGGACGAGGACGAGAATGGAGCGTGAATTGTAAAGAATGAATACGTATTAAGACAGAGCAGTGCAGAGAGATAGAAGAGATTACTTCATAGTTATTCAAGTGATAGTTTCTGTATTGAGATTCGTTGCTAGAAGACGACTAGTGGAAACAGAGAATCCTAGTGCGTGTGCAACGGCGAACTATAAACGGTGGAAACACCGATAGCGGTGTATTAAATGTGATTAAGAGAGATTGTAACCCAGTGCTAATAAATCCAATCATCCGAAATATAACCTACAATTATTTCGTCTCTCGTGCCACCCTACACGTGACCATATATATATATATATTTCTAGGTCCTCAGGCTCTTTGTTTTCAGATTCCCTCAAGTTATACTGATCCTTCTGAAAGAAATTCTAAGTTTAGAACTCATGAAAAATTAAAGTCCGATTCGTTATAACACAGAATCATCATCATCATCAGTAATCTGTCAAGACGACAGGTCCACAGTCTCTTTCAAAACAATTCCTCCACTTAATGCGATCTAGAGCTTTCTCCTTCAAATGACAGTATCCTCTTCTGTCCCCAAGGTCATCCAGCATCTTCTTACGTCTTCTTCCTCGTCTTCTTGTCACTTCTATCCGCCCATCTATCTTTCCTTCGATAGCTTCTTTTAGAAGGCAGTTTCTGCGTAAAACATGACCAATCCAATTAGCCTTCCGTTTTCTTATTTCATGTAGGATATTCCTCTGCTCACTGACTCTAATTAACACTTCTTCATTTCTCACATAATCGGTCCAACTGATCTTCTCCATTCTTCTCCAACACCACATTTCGAAACTTTCCAGATGTTTCTGATCTACTGCCCTAAGTGTCCATGTTTCAGCCCCATACAGAGCTATGCTCCAAATGTAGCATTTCACTAGTTTCTTCCTCAAATTTAAGTCCAATTTGCTGGTAAAAAGATTCTTCTTCTTGCTAAATGCAGCTTTTGCCATGGCAATCCTGGATTTAATTTCACAAGTACACCTTCCATCATCTGTTAACAAGCTACCCAAATATTTAAAACATTTCACATTCTCCACTTGTTTTTGGTCTATCTTTATTGTGACTGGGGTTGGTTGTCTCGAAATTTTCATTACTTTTGTTTTCTCCACATTCATTTCCATGCCATAGCACCTTCCAATTTCAATTAGTCTATCAATCATGCCCTGTAGCACAGTTTCTTCCTTAGCCATTAACACAAGGTCATCTGCATATTTCACAGTTTGAATAATTTGCCCTCCTACTTTGAAGTCACCGAGCCCATCCAGAGCTTCCTTGGTAAGGCATTCGCTGTACAAGTTGAACAGAATTGGTGATAAACAGCATCCTTGTCGAACTCCTCTTCCAATCTGCACACTTCCTGTCTCCCCCCTGTCCAGTCGTACTCTAACTTTCTGATCCATGTACAATTTGCTAATCAATCTTCTTTCATGCCAATCGATACCTGTTTCTTTCAGGATCTGCATTAATTTGGTCCAGTTTACCCGGTCAAATGCCTTCTGCCAGTCTATGAAGCAAACACACAGTTCTTCATCTATCTCCAAAGTTCGTTCCGCTATAATTCTCATCATCCCAATTGCATCCCTGGTTCCTTTTCCTCTTCTAAATCCAAACTGATCTTCTCCAAGTACATCCTCTATTTTCCTTTCAATTCTTCTTTTAAGTATCTTTGCTATTATCTTTGCTGTATGTGCAATAAGACTTATTGTGCGATGGTCGCTGCATTTTGTAGCTTTTGTCTTTTTCTTTAAGGCAATCATTGTAACTTCTGTAAAGTCCTTGGGCCACTCTCCACTTTCATATATGGTGTTCATTAGTTTTGTCAGTGTTTTCAAACCACCTTCTCCCAGTAACTTGAGCACATCTCCAGGTACATCATCATCTCCTGTAGCCTTTCCCTTCCTCATTTCCTTGATAGCTTTTTCCACCTCACTTTGTAAAATATATGGTCCTTTCTCGTCTGTATCTACTTCTTCTTCCGGTTCAACTTCTAAGGTTTCTGGCCGATTAGGTCGATCATATAGTTCTGAAATATAATTTTCCCAAATTTTCAGCACTTGCCTCTGATCTACTATTCTATTCCCCTGGGAGTCTTCGATGCCAACATTTTGAATCCCATGATTCTCTTTCCATCCTAGTTCTTTTGTCTTCATGTACATCAAATCATAACGGCCTGTTCTTTGAAATTCCATAATCTCATTACATATCTTCTCAAGATATTCCTTTTTGGCCCTGTCCGTGGCTCTTTTCAATTCATTCCTCAGTCTCCTGTATTTCCTCCTGCCTTCTTCATTGTTGACATTCTTCCATTTCCTTCGCTCCTCCATTTTACTCATCATCTCCTGTGTAACCCATGGTTTTCTTGCTATCTTCTCAACTTTACCTACCAAATCACTGATAGTATCTAACATGCATTCTTTTATATCGTTCCACTGCGCTTCAGCATTTCCGCTTTCACCTTCAATTGCACCGAGTTTCTCTTCTAGAGTCTCTTGCACGCTTTGTCTTTGAGCATATAACTTCTCCAAATCCCATCTGGGTCTGCGCTTTCGAAATCCTATAATTTTCTTCAACCTGGTTCGGAACTTGGAACACAGAATAGTGACATAATTATGTAATTCTCTATTGTTGCATTGTGTTGCATATAATTTAACTCTTCAAATGTGTTTGTATCGTTTTAATTCTTATAGCGGTGTTCTGAGCAATTGCGAATTAAGTAGATCATGCGACTAGGGTCCCGTAGTTTATGGGGTACTGTGCGGAGCTGGCATGCAATTTGTCTAACATGAGAGGATGGAAGGCCCCTAAGGCTTTTAGGTGCAAAAGAAACAGTTTGATTTCCTCTTCCTGTCTTCATTGGTTCTAGTAAAGCGTCTAACACATACCCACATCCCACCACGTTTTTCAGTGCTCTGGGCACCCGCGAACTCTTATATCTCCCCCAGTTCTGAGTTTATAGTTCTTGTTTAAGTTCTTTATTAATTTTAACTTCGATTGTACTACACTTTTCAATCTAAACCCCAGTGACAAGTGGCGCGAGCAGTAAGGTAAGCAGCATATACGTGAAGATATAGCTGATGATAGATGTGTTGGCCGAAACATGATGGACAGTCCCAACAAGGATACAAGTGACATTTATAATGGTTAAATTAAAACCACAATAGCAGACCCCAGTGCAGGGTTTGCGCAGTGGATGGAAACGGTGAGATGGTTGCTTACCAACTGCGAAACCGTGTAGGTTTTATTAAACCTACGACTATACAGTATACACTACTGAGCGTACTGCAGCCACACATCGCTTACGGACATTTCCATTAGGCGTGGCTGCCCGATACCATGGCCACCACCGTCACCTGACCTCACCTACTTGATCTTCTCGCTGGGGCGCTTCACGAAGGATATTACCGGTGCGCATCATGTGCTAAACAGCATTACTAGAATTTCGGGTTATACGCATCAGAGGGAGAGTGTAAAAGGACATACTTGAGAGGACTTTGGCATGCCAGGGCTACCAATGTAACATCAGCAGTGTTACAGACTAGACATAATTTGTCGTTCTGTGTTTCGCGTTCCTGCCGTCAGTACAACACAAGTGATAAATCTTTGAAATTGCTAACCTTGTAATCACCCTGTAGGCATATTTGGGTTCAGAAGAAGAGGCGGAAAATTGGTTATTCAGAACGATGCCAAACGGAAACCTCAAACGCGAGTCTTACAATGAGCAATTTGGCTGTAACTGTGCTAAATTTAACCGTACGAATTAATGCATTGAATCGCAAAGAATAAACTGATGAAAGTTAATTGTGTGAATCCAGTCTGACCATCAATCACACATGCAACGGCAACAAAAGGGTACGTACGACTAGGCTGAAGACGAGGGCGCGGACTCTGTCACCGGTGTCAGGTGCGATGTCGCTGCCGAACTGCACCAGGGTGCTAAGGAATCGCTTCATCTTGCCCAGGGTACGCCCGCTGCTGTTGCTGTTGCCATGAAGGTGTGAGTCCAGCAGCGACAGTGAGAGGGCCGTGGACGGGGGCAGGGGTGGACTCAGGCTGCCTGAAATATGCATCAAAGTTCAAATTTTACCATTTATTACTCTGCCTCTAGTTACGGGAAAAATCCTCAGGAAATTTTTCAGAAGAATGAGATAATAAATTGCCTTGAAATCAGAAGATACCATGTGAGTAGTCTATCCTATCAGTAAAGTGACTGGCTACTGTCTGGGCTACTGGGTCCCTCTGAGGGCAGGGACAGGTACGTAATTTTATTTCCGTGTTCGGATCAGTCGTGAAGACACCCAGCTTTCTATTAATGGGTACTGCAGCTCTTCCTCTCCGAGAAAATGAGTAAAGGGGGTAAATCAATCTCTCACCCCTACCTCGCGCCCAGGTGGCAGCAAGCAGGGCTCTGCTTTCCCTTCCTCGCGCATATGGCACGGTACAGGGACACTTCCGCGTTTTACTTTACTCCTGAGCTCGATACCACAAGTCGTATGTTAAAATATGCCTTAACCGCTTATTCTGCAGCCCTTTTCAGTTACCACATCATTATATAACTCCACTCTAAATACCTCCAGATGATGATAAAATATTGTTTAATGACTTAAGATTCAAACAGTTGGTAAAAATATGAAATTATATGGGAAGCATAGACGTTAAACTGAACATGTCTTTGCTTCAACACTGAAGTCGGGTAAGTGGTCGCTTTCATAATACCACCCAACTTCCTCAGAAAATGATATTAAGCAGGCTTCACAAGTGTTTCAGACATGAGGGCTATAAAAAGAACTGCAGAGTTGGTACTAATTTGGGTAGAATCTATGCGAATGCCCAAATTTTCATGGAACGACTCCGAAGCTCAAACTTGATATGCATCAGAATCCGCCAGGAACGTCTCCTTCTAAATAGACACACCGCATTAACACAATGTTTCTTCCTGAGGCTTTAACTAAATAGAGGCGTGTGCAGAAGGTGATTTGAGACAATAATCACGCATGCCTCTTTTTGCTGCCCGTGTAGCCTTGTTTTACCCTCCGTCTCCTCGAACGATAGAAATTCCCTGTCAGGCATCTTAGCTGGGGTGCTAGTCCGTTGTAAGGCCTCTACAATCCCTCAACGGAGTCCTACCAACTGTCTCCACAATTTATAATTTCAGAAGTCAATTCTGAATATCGGCAGGGCAAAACGCCTAATTCATAAAGGTGGAGGAGGAGGAGGAGGAGGGGAACGAGGAGGTGGAGGACAGGAGGAGAAGGGGAAGGAGGAAAAATAGTAAGAAGTTGGCTTTTTTATTTCTCTCTCTTCCACTTTTCTTGATGTATTAAGTCAATTACTATGTCGTCACTCGTTAAAACATCTTTCGCAAAGAAAAAGTTCAAATTTACTCGACTTAAAGTGGATCCAACCAAGTTTCTGTTTTTATGTAGTACGTTTCAAGATAACGTCAAGTTACATGCGGCTAAACTGTGGTGTCATCCACGTATGAGCATTGGAGTTCAATGGGGCATGGATATAAATACGGTCTTGAACAGTGAGCAGACAGAAATACACTGTCTGCAGGGTAACTTCATATACTCTGCTGTTCCTACCCACAAAATCGATGTTGAATTCTCTTCTAGTTATGTGTCTTGGCTAGTTATTTAACGACGCTTTAATAATGTAGCATCAGATGGAAGAATGTCCGATGAATGAAAAATTATAAAAGATTTGGAAGGAAGCTGTCGTACCCTTAACGAGGCACTCCAGTGTTTGTCTGCAGAGACTGAGGAAAACAAAAAAACAACAGGACGTATGATATCTCGGCCGATATTCGAACAGAGTACCTCCTGAACACAAGTTTAAGACGTTTCCTGTAGACCAGCCTCTTCGGTCCACGTGCTTCTGTTTTAGTTTTTTGTTTAACTACTTTCTTACTTGTGTACCTTATATAAAATGATAACTTAAAGAGAGAGGCGAAAGTTAGTTGGCTTGAGCTATTTTAGGGGAGGGCTTACTGATATACATTTTTCCAATTTAAGAATTTGGGGGGTGAGACTCAGGCCGTTGGTATTGCGGTCTCAGTCTGGCCTACTTTATCAATCCCTCCTGACAGACGAAGATGAAACCTTGATGAATTGGTAACAGGCAACGGAAAACCGAAGAACTCAGAGAAAAACCCGCCTCAGTGTACTTTATCCACCACATGTCCTATACGGGCTAGTCTGGGATTGAACCCCGGCCTCCTTGTTGCAGTCAATGGCACGACCTGAGTTACTGCTCCAACTCTCTCTTAAAGGAAATGAAGAGAGCCGGAAAAAAATGAGGACAGCCCATCTCACGGCCCAGAATTGAATCCACAATTTTCAAATGCGAAGCAGAATAGTGGGATTTTTGCTATGCTGAATACAGTGTCCGTAGTTTTCCCCAACCCTTCCAAGAAAGTATAAATTAAAATAAACCCCAAGGGTTTCTTCCCACGTACTTTCAAAGTCATTCTTCTAAGTCATTGATTCATCATTCGACACGATTACACCAATTTAAATGAGCTGCTATCGCCAAATAAACTGTGTGTAACATCAACTCGGACTGCCTGTTTTGTTTTGTATGTGATTTCCAAACTAATTACCTAATAAATAGGTACTACCAAATTCTGAGAAGTATGTTAACTTCACATTGTCGCACATTTGCGCAAGGCAAGAACTGTGCAGCCAGCAGAAACAGCCGTTTTAGGGAACATCTCTGCAAACACGCTTGTTGCTAGATAATGGCTGTGTAACACGCAACAATAGAATAACTGGGAAGCGGTGGTCTCTACGCGATCCGTGCGATAGCAGCGTGATGCAACAATAGAAGAACTGTTGGGAGAATATTTTCTATGCGGTCGATCCCGAGGCTACATAAACTGTCGATTGTGCATTGTGGGTTAGTGGCCAGCCAGTGTGTATCTGGGGTCGAATACGTCCACCGTAGCCCTGCGAGTCGTAGGAGGCTACGAAAGGGGAGCCCAGTGCCTGGGTGTATAACTGAGCCACCCTGTTCCTGTGGGATATAAATGCGGTGACTTCGATCTCCAGTAATATGTGGTCATGAATCCGGCGGGACTCGGACCTGAGAATGACTGCGCTGACAAGGCCCAGCAGCAATTATAAACGACAGAAAAATCCCATCATCAGAGAGGATGTTATGTAAGGACTATGACCGCAAGCATTCAGTTGAAAAATAAATTGCTGGTCGTGAGTCTCAAGGGGCTTATCGCCAAGACGACCTGATTGGCGGTAGACCCTCCAGTCGTAAAGTAATTATGACTGACTTTGACGCTGGCTGTGGGTAAGTCCGGCAGCTGGAAGCCAGTTGGTGTGTTACAGATATATTACATATTTGTTGCAGTTGTTTGTATTTCTCTGTAATTGTTGTAGTTGTTAATCGTATTTGGTTTGTATTCCATGTGGTAGGATGTCCTTATTGTTGTGTTTTGTGTATTGTGTTTTGTTTGAACGTGTTGTCACTTAGTGTAATGTGTGTTACTTGTCTGTTGTGTCCTATTGTGTACTACTGTCACCGGGCTAAAACCCAATTGCAGTATAATAAATAATGTAATGTAATGTAATGTATTTTAACGATAAAACGTATTGAAATATAATTATAACCGGTGCAGGTAAGTTGCCTGCTCAAAGCTAGTGCTCTTTCAACCTGGGTAGACTGAAAGAACGGCGGTATACGACACTTATCTTAGCCAGTACACCGACCGAGGCTGGAGTCGAGTTCCTCTCCAATATAATTCAGTCTCATCATTATTTGAGCCAAACTTTTCGGTGCACAGACTGTTTACGCGTTCCAGTTTTTATCAGTTGTCGAACCTGGGTTATGTTGAAAATGATTATGGACAGGCCTTGCGTCCTTTCAGGTCAGTATTGGTACTGTGGCAATAAGTTTTCTGGTTTGGGACACGGATCGCGATGGTCTCAGACATGCGCAATGGTAGTGACAGGCTGTGACACAAGGTCACGCCTGATTACACACCCAACACCGGGAACTGTCACAAACAGGATCAGCAGGTGCTGGGAAGGATGTTACCTCTCTTAGTGAAAAAATAAGAAGAGCGGAGTGTTTCATAATCTACGTCACGTAACAGTTATTTATACTGTTGCTATAGTCCTTATTATTTTCATCTCTGCTTCATTTCGCCAACACATCGTTGGAATTACAAAACCCTCTGCATACTTCCAAGAACCAAGTTACATTATAACTAAAATATTTATATAGTAATTTATATTACATTAATTATTTTACACTGCAATCACTCACTTCATATTTTCGAGAAAAACAATGTCACTCAGCCAAAGTTCGACGTGTGATATAACATTCATCAGCTACTACTGTTCTTAGGTTTGTCAAACTGCGCTTCATTCAGATTTCCCATTGCATTATTTAGTGCTATATGAAGATTAGGATTGTGCGGACTACTGCTGCTCTTGTAACTAGGAGTAACAATAATAACAATTCAGTTCAGTTCTTTATTATTTATGTGCCGAGTCAATAGCCACAAGGCCACTTACAGACAGAGCACAGTGCAGATACAGGTAATTACATTATGGACAAACACCACATAAAGTAAAAGACAAATTAGAGGCAAGCAGTGGAGGAAACAAGACACTAATGCAAAAAAGTAAACAAACAAACAAAATAATAATAACAATTTAACGTCCACGTATTTATCGTCCGTCAATATTGCAACACTTTTTAAGTTAAACAACTGCAACAGGATGCTGAAACTCAGAATTATAAATAATAATGTCGCGTGTTAGGCGTATAACGCGACAAATAACTTCACGCCGTATTTTATATAGCGAATCTTATTTCACATTCGCACTTACAATCACCCAAATTACAGATTTACGATTACTGCTATCTGCAGTATCACAAATAGTACACTCCAAATGCCACAAGACAACTGACTAGTTGCTGGCTAACTCGGAACTAACTCGGAGGTAGCTCGAGGACTCACTCGGCGGTAGCTCCAGGACTCACTGACTGGCTCTGAATAGCCTTCGCTGCTCCTTATGTAGCCTTGATCGGACA